CAAAAGAAAATTAGATAGAAAAATTCAGCACACCCTGACATTTGATGAGCTGAAGAAGTTAAATGTTTGACCCTCATATTTAATTACTAGGAAGGATAGTCATACATGTTGTCTTTTGACAATGACATTTGTCACCTTTGTTTTCAGCAGTAATCCTCTAGAGTCCATAGGTTCTTCTGATGAGCATGAAACGGCATAGAGTGAAAGAGAAGTGGCTTTAAAGTGATCTTGTTGCATCTCCAAAACAGAACCAGCTTGATGCAGGCATGTAGAAGAAACAATAGTGCATTCAAAATACGTTTGACCCCTTTTGGCTACGTTTTCCAGTCTGCTTGTGTTTGCACAAACATCTCAGAGGAATGGGTTCTGAAGATGACCAATTAAGTTGGTCCTGACTCATCAGAGTTCAGCGGAGTGCTGCCACGGCCAAAAGGCCCAAACAAAGAGCCAGTGATGAAGTGGCAGCGCATACACCCTTTACCATTGTCCCCCCTAATGAAGCGCCAGCCTGGGTATGCGAGCGGCTCAGCGTCTGCTTGGTCACAGGATCTCCAACAGTGTGTAATAAACACTGCGATACACAGCTACCTCTGTTGCTGTATCACTGCTTCTGCTTACTCATGGCATCCCAGTCAACCTGATACAGGCTAATGCAGGTTGTTTACATGCAGCTACACCTTCGAGACAAGGACACTAAGTCACAGTCTTTCAGTTCCCAAGTAAACAAATCCTCACATTTGACCTCTTACCTAACCAAGAGTCTAGAAACAGAAATATCTTCTTAAACTAGTGGATATTAGTATTTAAGGAAGCATGAAGAAGGGGATTTGTGGCTGTTTAATGATCAGTTGAGTTAATATACTGTCATCTAGCTGTCGTTTGATCATTTCCAGCTGTACTTTGGTATGCATGTTCAAATGGAGTGATTCTAAAGGCCTACCTCTTAAAACAACAAATCATTTTTTAGGTTGCATCATGTGACCTTTTTAATGTTGGTAAATACAATCTGTGAGTGTTAAGGATTTAGATGTTAAAGTCTGTGGATCTTTACAGCTTTGGAGGGAGACACAATGCATAATAGAATACACTTCTCAATATAGAAACAAGGTTCTGCAGTTTGATGTCAGGGCAACAATAATGTGTAAGAGAAAATGTACAGCATCAATATATTATTGATTCCTGATTTAGATTCCAATGGCAGCAAATGATTCCTTTATTATCAACTAGAGCTCGTCCAATTTATTTGAAAAAAAAAAGTTATTATTCTTATAGATGTTTGGCATTAATGTAAAGATAAAAGGACATATGCCTATTACTATTGAGTTGTCTTAAGAGCAATAGACTTCTGTGGCGTGATGACATCATCATGCGCATACTGTTAATGCACCAGGATCCACTAACATCATATTTCCCACATTTACTGTTGTCTGAGGAAAAGCACCAATTTGATCCCATGTGCTCTGTAGATCCAAACATTCAGGGTACTTATTTGAATAAAAATAGTTATATCATGTTGTCAAAAGGTGTTTACAGAAACCTAAAATATCAGAATATAACATGTGTCCAGATGTGTAACTGAATAATAATACATGTTATTATTCAAGCTGTTCATCTATTGAATTAAAATGACACAAATACACCAGTATGTTTACAAGTTTTAATATTGCATTTTTAATAGAAGAGTAAGAAGTCTTTCCTTGCCCCCCCCCCACACCTGTCGCTCCTCTCCTTCACTTCCTGTCTGCTTCCTCCTCCTCAGATGCAGACCATAAAGTGTGTGGTGGTGGGTGATGGTGCGGTGGGAAAGACTTGCCTGCTTATCTCCTACACCACCAACAAGTTTCCCTCTGAATACGTCCCAACGGTGAGCCACTTTTACACACTAATTCATCAACTGACACTTCAGTGTGTTCTTCACAATCACACATAGCTCTCTACTGTCAGACGCTTTGACTGGTTGTTTCCATTACATAGACTAAAGAAGGACGGTTGCTGTTAGCAATGATATCAACCAAATCAAAACATGCCTAATGGTAGTCAAAGAAGAATCACAATACAGACAAAGTATTCCCATTCAATAAGGGTTTAGCCACTATTGGTTTTACTTTAAAAAAACAACAAGATTTAAAATAATGTGGTTAAACTGCTTGCTTGCTTACAACCTGTTTAATTGCCCGACTGATTAAATGTATCCTTGCAAAGCTGCTGTCTAGATTATGGATCTCTAATCTTATAATCCTTATAGGAATCATTGCCAAAATTACAAAAGTAAAACTCAGTATGTAATACACTTTAAACATTTAACTGTCAAGAGTTTAAAATGCATGGAAATGTGTTTATTCACGTTTTTGCAACAAGTTACTTTTCAGAAGATTGTTACCATGCCTACTGTGAAGCTACAGCCAAGAGATGGTTAGCTTAGCATAACAACTTGAACGGGGGGAACAAGCTAACCTGGCTAGCCAAATCTTTGCTAACTCACTGATTTAAAAGAAAAAAGATTTCCTATGGCGTCAAACTATTTCTGTAATATTACATGATATTAGTGTTTAATGTTGGTAACATGCTCGTTAGATCTTATGCATTAAGGAAATGCAGCGGTTTGAACAAAACAAGTTGTTTTTGGAACTGTAGGTTGGAGATGGCTTGCTGCTCTTTTTCTTAGGATTCTAAGGATTGTGCTCCTCTTTTTGTGTGTGCATGTTTGTGTGTGCAGAGCTATATGTGTGCACTTGCTTATTTTCATGTAGCTGCAAGTTAACATATTTGAGATTCTCTGGGGTCTGCTGGAGCAGGAAGTTGCCTCTCAGGCTCTGCAGATAGAAACGGAGGTCCAGAGACTGTCCCCTCAGCTCCACTCAGGGGCGGACTGGCCATCTGTAGAATCTGGAGAACCACAGAACGGCCAGTCGTCAAGGGCCATTGACGGCCGGCCGGCCGGCCGGCCCTTTAAAACAAAAAATGTGTTTAACGTCATCATTTAAGTTGCCGCTAATGCAGTTGTGTGGTTCTTATCTGTCAAATAATCTCACACGAAGAAGAAAAAAGACCGCCCAAACGAAGAGAAGGGATTAGACCATAGACGCTGCGGCAGATCAAGCCCCCAGGAAGTGCGCCGGACTCTGATGAAAATATTCGTGCTGGCCAAACGGCGGTACTACACTTCCGTTTGGTTGCCAGGCCCGGAAATACTTTTTCCCATTGACTTACATGGGGAAAGAATGGTCTGTAAATCGTTGGATAATTTTTTTTAAACTAAATAAACTACCCAGTATGAACACTTGTACAGTATAGCCCTTATTAAAAACATTCGTTCCTCAAATTGTGAAAATGTGCTAATAACGTTATTCTGAGAGTTATTTCCCTCTGCATTATGAACGCGCATCTAACCCACGGGACCGCGCCGCTCGGCACGTTCATGTGATGTGACGTGTTCAGTACTAAATGAGTTTTACACACAGGTTTTACCCATAGACTGGTTTTACCTTTACCCATGGATGCACAATAAGAACGGACCCATATCGCCTTACTGCCAGCCCACGGAGCTGTAATAATGGATATATTTCACATGTTTGCTGTCATCATTTGTAAAATATTATACTACATGGGCTGTATGATGTAAATATTTTATTAAATAAAGTTAATATTACCGACGTAGATTAACGTCCCTGTAGCTTCTTATTGCACTTGCAATATACCATTAAAGGAGTTGAA